AAAAAAATTCTCCATATGCTTTAGGGCATCGTGGCCAACGAAACGCTAGGTTACTACATGGCTCGTACACATATGTACCTTGTAAAAGTTGGTGTGGATCCAAGAAGACTACGATTCAGACAACATCTAGGAAATGAGATGGCTCATTATGCGCAGGTCTGTTGTCCGATCCGCCCATTCCCTTTTCAAACTTGCTAAATTTAAGGATTGTTGGGATGCGGAGATTTTGACTAGCTACGGATGGATCGAATGCGTTGGTAATGCTGACCGTTCTTGCTATGATCTTACACAACATTCCAAAACCACCAATGTGAAGGTAAGTTCTTTCCACAATTATTAGAGAATGGCTGTCAAGTTTTCTTTCTGGTATTTTCTTTTCCTTTTCCTGATATTTATGCGTTTCCTTACTAAGTGAGGTTTTGCAGCTTACCGCTGAAAAGAAATTGTCTGAACCAAAGTCTGTAAATGTTGTGGAAGCAGCGCCGAACATGGCCGTACTAGGCAAAGAATTCAAGAAAGATGCCAAGAGGGTGAGCCATTGGTTCTTTCATTTTTCTCGGTGCATAAATGATTATTATTTGCACCAAAAGAAATACTTGAAAAGATTCAATGCAGATACAAGCAGCTCTTGCACAACTACCTGAGGATCAAGTAGAAGCTTTGGAGAAGGAGCTGAAGGCTAACGGGTAAGCCACTCCCCTTTTGTAACTGACAATGATATTCAATCATGGTTATTTTAGTTCATACAAATTAAAAGTTGACGCTGACGAGTTCAAGTTGACTGCAGCTATGATAACGGTGAAGAGAACTACGAAAATGGTAACATTATCCTCAGTGGAGAAATAGGAGTACTCATTTGCTTTTTAAGGTCCATGTCGAGGAGATCACACCCTCTGTAATTGAACCTTCGTTTGGAATTGGGCGAGTCATGTATTCAGTTTTGGAACATGCATTTAGGCAACGAGAAGGAGACGAGCAAAGAACGGTGAGTCAAAATAGGATTATGTCAGACTTCCTGTATCAGTTGCGCAGGCTACTCCTTGTTTCAATTTTGGCATCCCGTTTATTTCTTGGAAAGATATGCTAGTAGCTGGCAACCCCGGCTTCGCCCGGCCTATGAATAATATATTCGCAATCAGCATGCTCAGTCAC